CTCAGTCCTGCTCTGCCAGCCGAAGCTCCCACCACACAGGTTCCTCACTTACCTCGGAATAGCACCATGATGCAAGCAGTGAAGACCACACCCAGACAGAAGTCTCCACTCCTGAGCCAGCCAGTTCCTGAGCTAAGCCCCTTCAGAGCCCCAGTGAGTCTGTCAAGCCCCACTGGCACATCCCTCCCCAGCGTTGATCTGCTCCAGAAACTCAGGTTGACCCCACAGCATGACCAAATACAGGCGCCTCCGCCGCCGCCGCTGCTTGGAAAAGGTGCAGCGGCACCTGGCTTTTCCTCAGCAGCTGGCCGGCTGGCCACCCCTGAGAGCTTCATAGAGCCTCCCTCTAAGACCGCAGCAGCCAGAGCAGTGCCCTCAGCCTCCCTGAGCAACATGGTGCTTGCTCCAACCCTTCAGATTGCAGGCCCTGCGTTGGTCACTGCAGCAACCACAGCAGTGTCTTCTATCCTGCTGTCCCCCAGTGTGTTCCAGCAGACAGTCCCCAGGTCCACAGACCTGGAGAGGAAAGCAAGCTCTCCCTCTCCCCTCACTGTTGGAACTCCAGAAAATCAGAGAAAGCCTTCCATTATTCTCAGCAAGTCTCAGCTCCAGGACACACTGATACATCTAATAAAGAATGACTCTAGCTTCCTCAGTACACTTCATGAAGTCTACCTGCAGGTGTTGACCAAGAAGAAGGACAGCCACAACCTATGACTGGAGTACAGTCAATGTGAGGGTCAAGGGTGCACCTCAAAAACAAGCAGGCTTCCTCATGGAACATCTCAGTAGAACATGGAGCTTTGAGAAGCCTGAGTTTGAGCCTTTGAGAGAGCCTTGTTCCTTAAGGCTGTTTTCTAGAGACATTCTCAGTGATGATGGAGGTTTCACTGTGAAGCATCACCAGCAGACCTTTGATTGACAAAGACAGCAGAAAAGACCATTGTGTTGAGTTCGGTGGGGTGTGGAAGGAGGAGCCTGATTGTCAGCTTACTTTCCAGGCCTCGGGCGGGCGGGGCCCCCAGCCTTGTAGCAGAGCCCAGGGGAGCCCAGGCCCTCCTCCACTGCCTGCCTAAAGCGCTGAACTGAATGTCAGCTCCACAAAGTAGTTTCGAGTTCTAAGGATCGGAATTAAGTTGGTTCTTTAGAAGGTATTTGTTCAAGTGAAGTATGTTTTCTATGAGCACCCCGCTTGGGCCTTAAACTTCTGGGATTTCTTTGTGTTTCGTTAAGTGTCCCGGTCCTGCCCTGTGCAGACTCAGGCCGGCCTGGGCTCTGGTGGAGGAGGCTGGGAACCTGGGAAGCAGAGGCTGGGCTGCCCAGATCTACATCCTACCGGAGGCTTCAATCTTAATAAACTCTCCAGTGCTTTGGAAGTGTCAAGTTTGTGTGTGACGCACAGCCTTATTTTCCTTTTCTGTCTAAACAGTTCAAGTTCTTGTTGATTGTCACCCTTTCTGTCCCTTGTTGGGGTAGTTGTTGGTGCTGGGGTTAAACCCAGGAAGAAAGAACTTGGGCCTGACTGTTGAGCCTTCTTGGGTCTTTTCCACATCTCCTCTGCTCCAGCTCCCTCCTCCACCCAGGCTCGGTGTGGGTTAGAATGAGCAAAATCTTGAGCAGCCTTCCCATCCTTCAGCTGAAGTCTAACTCGGGCTGAGAGCAGGGGCTTCAGTTCCCATCAGAACAGTTTAAACTTGACGAAGAACTCTTGCAGAGATTGTAACTCGGTCTGTTTAACTCAAGGGTTTGAGAATCCAAAGCTCCGGATGAAGAGAAGAGGAAGAGGAAGGAGAGCAAGATGTCAGCTGGCCCTAGAAGGCCTTCTGACTAACCCGGAGGCTCCCTTAAGGAAAGCTCTTTCTGGGCTGGAGAGAGGAGTCTGGCTAAGAACACTTGTTGGTTAGTTGCTAGCACAGACAAGGGGCCTCACAACCCTCTGTAACTCTAGTCACAAAGGGTCTGACACCCTCTTTTTGGCTCTGTAGATACCAAGCATGTATGTGATGCACATACAGGCAAACACTCATAAAATGCATCCCAAAAGATAATGGTATAAATTTGCATTTAGGCTCTTCAATAGGAAAGTGAGCTGGGTCATTTTAATGCCTGGAGATGGGGAAGCTTTTAAGAGTCAGATTTCATGTATTCGAGTGTGTGTGTGTGTGTGTGTGTGTGTGTGTGTGTGTGTGTGTGGTTGCACATAGGTATAGCTTGCATACGTGTGGAAGCCAGAAGACAGCCTTGAGTGCCCCTTCCCACCTTGTTTTGTAAGAAACGGTCTCTCATCGACAAGTGTGTCCCACTGTGCCTTCCTTGTGTATGTCAGGTCCTCGCGCTTGCTCGGCAGGTAGTTCATGGCTGAGTTGTCCCAGGCTGGAGAGAAGCGGTCAACTAAACCTTGTTCTTTCCCCACCAATACTCCCTGTCCTGTGGAGATCATTAGAAGAGTTGGAGCCGCCGCCGCCGCAGGAGTCCTGGCTGGCAAGCTTTGAGGAAGTTTCTTTTCCTCTGCCTGAGAGCTGGTTGAAAGGTGGCAGCTGCATGCTCCAGGAAAGCCGCACGCAGGAGCTGTGAGGTCAGGCCGGAAAGGAAAGGCGGGAGGTTCGACCATGACCATCAGTGTGAAAGCTGGAGAACAAGGTCTTTGCCCAGAGGATGGGGGCCCCAGATGGTTCTAGATGGCAGGGGTTATCCCCTCTTTAGAGATGGTGACATTCTTGGGAAGGATGGGGACAGAAATCGCTGTGGAAATGGTGTCACATGAAGCAGCTCATTCTGCTGACACTGAGCTATACCGTCATGTAAATAATTTCCGTAGTAATAAATCGATGACATCTAAACTAATGGCAAAAAAGTGATATTTTTTAAATATTTTCTTTATTTTTATTGTATGTGTACCAGTGTAGGCCTGCAGGTATATATGTGACCACACATATGCCTGGTGCTTGTGGAAGCCAAAAGAGAGCACCGTATTCCCTGGATTTTTTAAATTTTTTTTGGTTTTTAGAGACAGGGTTCTCTGTGTAGTTTTGGTGCCTGTCCTGGATCTTGCACTGTAGACCAGGCTGGCCTTGAACTCACGGAGATCCTCCTGGCTCTGCCTCCTGTGCTGGAATTAAAGGTGTGTGCCACCACTACTGCCTGGCTCTGAATTTTTTTTTAAAGATTTATTTATTTATTTATTGAATTTATTTGTTTGTTTATTTATTTATTATGTATACAGTGTTCTGCCTGCATGCATGTACACCTGCAGGCCAGAAGAGGACACCAGATCTTATTACAGATGGTTGTGAGGCACCATGTGGTTGCTGGGATTTAACTCAGGACCTCTGGAGAGCAGCCAGTGCTCTTAACCTGAGCTGTCTCTCCAGTATCCAAAAATGATTATTATAAACACTTAGGTAGCAGCTCCTGAGCAGTGCATGAGACATGGGGATCAAAAGAAGTAAACTGGCTATCAAGAGTTACAGTGTTCAGGAGTAAAAACACACAAACTCTTTAGCTGTGAGACAGTGAGGAACATAAGTACTGTGAATGATACACAACAAACCGTGGGAGGTCCAGGGGATGGAAACACAGCACTGCACAGTGCCTGTCTAGCATTCCCGAACCCTGCTTTAGTTCTCCAGTACTAAACAGGGGTGTGTGTAGTGCCAAGGGGGTGGGGGTGGGGGCGCACAGCCTTTAATCCCAGCACTCAGGAGGCAGGGGCAGGCGGATCTCTGTGAGTTCAAGGCCACCCTCGTCTACAGAGAGTTCCAGGACAGTCAGGGCTACACAGCGAGACCCTGTATCCTAGCATTCGGAATGTGGGAGGAGGAGGATCAGAAGTTCTGGGTCATCTGACTGTATAGTATGTTTGTGGACAGCCAGGTGTACAAGAGGTCCTATCTCAAACAAAAATGGATGTGAGCCCAATCTGGCTGCCACTTGTGACCCCAGTTGATCTCCAGGGTTGATTTGGCTGATCTGGCTGGCTAAGCAGGTGTCCCCTTCCTCCATCCCTCCCGAGAGTGTGCAGCTGGGGGAGGGGTGCCCATGAGGCAGTGAGAAAGATCCCTACCCCACCCCAATAGAGGAGGGTCGGTCTTTGGTCAGGGGATACAAGTAGCTGCACTCTCCTGCTAGACACTCCAGACAAGCTCTCAAATAACAAACAAATTCAATCAGAGGAGATAGTGTGGGCCAGAAGTGTTGGCAAAAATCTCAATCACAAAGGCTGCTGAGAATGAGAATGGTCCGCATGTTTTCTGGAGCAGTTATAAGGACACTGGACTAGATCCAGGTAGACACCGCTGCTAACACTGTAAGCCTGAGGAACCTGTGTGGGCTTCTGGTGTTTTGAGATAAGGCCTCACTGGATAAGCTCAGCTAACCTGGAGCTCACTGTGTAGACCAGGCTGGCTTCCAACTCAGAGATCCACCTGCCCCTGCCTCCAGAGTGCTAAAATTAAAGGTCTGCACCACTATGCCCTGCTAACATTTGGGTATGAGTTTTTATTTTTACACATTTATTTTATTAGTGTGGGAACTGTGACCTGCTCATCCCACAGCTCAAGTGTACAGGTTGGGGCAACATGAGGGCGTCAGTTCTCTCCTACCACGTGGGCTCTGGGGTTGAATCCTTAGGCCTTATCAGCCCGTTGTCTTCTTTTGTTTTTGGAACAGAGCCTCAGCCAAGGCTGACCTTGAATTGACTAGGTTGTGAGGCTGGCCTTGAACTCCAAACCTGCCTCTGCCTTCCCAAGTACTTGGACAGTTTATCAGTTTTTTGGTTTTAATTTTTTTTTTCATTTAAAAAACTTTTGAGGAGAATTCTGGGAAGCAGAAGGCTGAGGCAGGAGAAACTGCCAGCTGCCACCATGACAAGCAGCATGTGAAGACACCGAACGTTCATCCAGCAACTGATGGAAGCAGATGCAGAGATCCACAGCCAAGCACCTGGCCAAGC